AGGGAAAGGAGGAAAGGTAGTAAAGGAGAGAGAGAGAGAGAGAGAGTGTGCGTGGAGAATGAGAGGGAGAAGAGTGAAGTGTGGCGTGTATGGTGGAGTAAAGGTGGTGGTGACGGAGTCTGACTGGTTAATACAATATAAAAATATATTTGATTAAAGGATAAAAACATAAAATCAAAATCAATATGTATAAGTAAATAAGTGTATATGTTAAGAACGGTCAGAAATATAAAATTGGTCGCTCGCATGTGTGTTAGATTAAGATTAGAATTTAAAATTTTCTAAGACTTATTACCGAAATGGGTTGATGATTTAAAGAATGAAACATTCTTCGGAAAGTTTTGATTAAAAAAATAAAAAAAAGACAAAAAGGAGGAGAAGAAAAATTATTCAATTAAACTTACTTTTTTAAATAGTAATTCAGAGGTGGAGGGGTGGCGAATTTGTACGGTGTTTTGCTCTGTGTCTCATGTCGGCAGCCCGATATTCGATTTGTGGTTGCTCTGGAGATGATGCCAAGTGAGGACACTGGTGGCACAAGTGCCTAACTCGCGAATTACGGTGCAAAAGCACAGAGTAAGACTGCGTGAAGCTGAAGACTGGAGAATAAGGTACGTAAGTGAGTTCGAGTCCTCTTTTTATATCTCTCTTTTCGGGGTGTATTCTAATGTCTAAGAGTGGGAATCTTCCAAAACTTCGACGAATTGAATTTGCGCAGAAGTGGGAATTTTTCAATCTTAGCAAATTAAAAATGTGCCAGTGTCTTCGTTAGGCGGGGTGTTCCTCCTACTTTTCGCGTTTTACTCGTAGTGATCGTCCATTGGTGAGTTCGATATTCGCTCAAAGATTCCTTGCACGTGTTCAGATTAGAAAAAAGATCCTATTCTTCTATGATAATTTTATTGCTATTGGTGCAGCTGTGTTTATTGAATATTTGTTGGAAAATTTTATTATTATAGATGCAGCTGTGTTTGTTGGGTATTTCGTTAGAAAAATTTATATTACCTTGAGGAGACCGGCATATTTTTATCATCGATCTTTTACGTTGGTCTGTTTACTGAGCGATTCGTTTGTCTCACCAATCGACGATCGTTGCCGACACTTCGCGGAAGGAAGGAATCGTGGAATCGCCAGGACGTAACAGGAGTAAAGGGACTGAAATAGAAAAGAGTGGAAAAAGTGGATGAGTTGGAGGTTAGGGAGATAGTAAGAGAGAGAGAAAAAGAGTCACGTGGTAAGTGACGGAAAGAAAACTGGAAGCATAGAACAGATAGAGCGGCGACTAGACAGGTAGGAACACAGAGGGGAAAGTACTAGTGAGAATAGATAGAGAGGTAACTGGATAGGTAGAAATGGAGAGTGGAAAAGGAGTAATGGGAGTACATAGAGAAGCGACCAAACAAGAAAAGGAGATAGTAGAGAAGAGAATGACAGAGGAAAAGAATGACGTATGAGAACGGGGAAAGAGGGAATGAGAGTAGTGGAGAGGAGAGGAAGCACGGGGAATATAGAAAAGATGTGGAAAAGGAAGATGAAATTGATGGAAGGGTGCGAAGGGAGAACAGTAGAAGAGGAGATGGGGGTATTAAAGAGAGGAAAATTAAGGGGGTTACCACAAAAAGAATTAGTAGAGAGAAGTGAAGGAGAGATGAGTGGAAGTGGGTGGAAGGAGATGAAGGATGAATTGAAAAAGGGATGGAAGGAAGGGATTCAGGAGATAAGGGAGATGCTGAGGGAGGAATTGAGGGGGCATATATGGGAAATGAGAGAGGAGGTGGAGGGGTTAGTGAAGAAAAGGATAGAGGATAGAGAACCCTGCCGAAAATGATCGATTAAAACCGATTTAAAAAAATATAATCCGAATCGATCGGGATTTCTGCACCGAAAATGCGGTATTAAAACCGATTGAAAATAGTCAAATCGAATTTAGTACGCTTCAGGCGGGTTAATGTTGGGTGATATACATCCACCTCAATCCGAAATTATACGATTTCATAAAGTTATAATTAAACCTGTTTTAATGCAATTGAATTGGAATTTACCATAATCAATCCATAGGTAAAAATAATCCCATTTAATAAAAAATTCCATCATTTCGCAGATGAAAAGTAAATCGATTTTATGTAGTGTGAAGTCGGATTTGCTGTTATCATGAGTCACAATCAATTATTAAATCGGTGTTTCTGCAATTGAAACATTTGTTTGGTATGGACTCAGTTGTTAAAAACAAATATACGATTTCTCCGCAGGGGGTCCGCCTTATATCCCCGCTTGATTGCTTTCTACTTCCAGGTTGGCTTGCTCGACCTTCGCCGCGTAGCGGCGAAGCCCGGAACTACGCGCGGACGCGCGAGCGCGTGGGCCGCCAAGTTGCGGGTCGCGCTACTGTATCGCGGATTGTGGTTAATATGACGGCCTACGGCAGCCACTATATCTATTCGATTATTCGTATTTATTTGGATTGATAACAATATGGATTAGAATGTAATGATTTCAGATTGGAAATAATCCGCAAAAGCGATATTAAAACCGATTATAGTTCGTTTGGAATTAAAATCGATTTCTTTTTAATCTGGGCGCGGATTGAACCGATTGAAACGGATTATGTTTTAATCGGTTTTAATCGACCATTTTCGGCAGGGAAGAGAGATGGAGGGAAGAGAGGGAGGAAATGCAGAAAAAAATGGAGGAATTAGAGAAGGAGATAAGAGAGTTAAAGTTAAGGAAAGAGGGGAAAGGGATGAAGGAAGGGGAAAAGAGGGGAGAAATGGAAAGGAAAGAAAGATGAGATGGAAATTGGAGGAGGTAGCTAGAAGAGAAATGGGGAAAAGCAAGAAAGTATAGGTAAGTTATGGTAAAATACAAATAGAGGGGAAGTGGTGGAGATGGGAAGAAGAAGAGGAGAGGTTGAGGGATAATGAGAGTTAGATTTGGAGCGAACAGGGGGACCCAGTAAACGCTAGATATTCCTGGAATATTTATAAAATGTTCCTACGATCCAAAATTAACATACAAAGAATATTCCAAAACATTCCGGAATATTTACAGAATGTACACGGAATATTCAGATAAGCGTTTCGGTATATACGGGACTTTTGGAATACGAATGGAATATTTCAGGAATATCTAGCGTTTACTGGGGAAGGACAAGAAATGACAGGGAAGCGAGAAGGGTAGAAAGGAGAGAGATGGAAGAGCAAGAGGTGGAGTGGAAAGTGGCCTTCTGGAATGTAGCGGGGATAAGAAATAAGAATAGGGATTTTTGGCATAGAAGAGTGATGGGATATAGTAATACTACTATAGTATTATCGGAAACATGGATAGAGGAGAGAGGATGAGGAAAACTGAAGGAAATACTGCCGAAGGAATTCACTTGAAAGGTGCAGATGGCAAGGAGAAGAAACAAAAAGAAAAGAGCGAGGGGAGGAATGCTAATGGGCAATAAAAAGAATATAATGATAGAGGAAAAGGGGGAGGAAGAAACGGAGTTAAGAATAGTATGCACCCTGCCGAAAATGTTCGATTAAAACTGATTTAAAAAAAAGTAATCCGAATCGATCGGGATTTCTGCACCGAAACGGTATTAATTTAAAAAAAAGTAATCCGAATCGATCGGGATTTCTGCACCGAAAATGCGGTATTAAAACCGATTGAAAATAGTCAAATCGAATTTAGTACGCTTCAGGCGGATTAATGTTGGGTGATATACATCCACCTCAATCCGAAATTATAAGATTTCATAAGTTATAATTAAATCAGTTTTAATGCGATGTGAATCTGTCGGTGGAGGACAAAAGTAATTCGGATTGGAAATAATCCACGAAAGCGATGTTAAAACCGATTATAATTCGTTCGGAATTAAAATCGATTACTTTTTAATCCGGGCGCGGATTGAACCGATTAAAAACGATTAAAACAGATTATGTTTTAATCGGTTTTAATCGAACATTCTCGGCAAGAAAAGGCTTAAAACAAGTGCAAAAGACATTGAGCTAAAGAAGGATTCCTTGCTGCAATATCCACACAGCATATAATATCATCCGAATATTCTATACTCATACTGTGAATATACGTTATATATGTAATATACTGAGAACATTCCTATAACATCTCTTATAGTATATTATTTCTCGGATATTCTCAGGATATACTTTCGAGTTACGCGAATTTATTTATTAGCGAATATATATAGCAATGCCATTTTAGATGTGTAATTTCCGTATTGCCGGCGCTGGTCTCTTCTGTTTTTTTTTAGCTGAACTATCTGCATATACAGGGTGTCCTAGACCACCCGTACACCCCTTTTCTTTTAAAAACTAAGCATTTTAGAGAAAAACGTTTTGAACAAAAGTTGTATAGTTTCGAGGGGGACATAAGGTGGTGTCATTAATTTGACCTTGAATAGTTGCTTGAAGGTCACGTGAAGGTCACCTTCAATTTTTTAAATGGAACTGCCTACTTTTTATATTAAAAAAAAAAATATTTTGTTAGGACAGTGCTGGGATTTACTTGCACATTTTGGCCCGATTCCGTGGCTCACGCCTATTGCCCCTCACTCACCGCTCGTGCGTTAGCAACGAGTCGCCAGATACGCGTAACTAAGGAGCGCAACGCTTCGTCTCAGGAGCGTTCATATGTAAGAATGTCCAAAGATAATAATAAGACAATACTTTTCTAAACGCACCGCGAAAATTCTCAAAATTAAAAGTTTTTCTTTAATATTTTATATTTCATTGATATAAAATATTGAAGAAAAACTTTTAATTATAGAAGAGTATTGTCCGACGCTCCATCGACTACTAAGCACCAAAGAAGTGAAGAGAGCACTTCGCTCTGCGGGCACCCTTGATCCACCTAACCGCCGATACTGACAGCGCCGAGCGTCGTTACAACTTGCCGCCGGAGCATACCTCTGATCCAATGAACCAGCCTGTGTGGAACGCCCCGCAGCGTTGCCTCCCTGCAAACCACCTCGTGAGGGGTGTTGTTGAAGGCACCCTCTATGTCCAGAAAGGTCCCCACCGTGTAGCCTCCATGAGATCTCTCTCAATTTGGGAAACCAAAGAGTGGAGCGCCGTTTCCGTAGAGTAGCCTATTCTGTAGGCATGTTGATTCTCATGCAGCGGATGCCGCATGAGGACAATATTCCTCAAACAGACCTCGACCAGCTTCTCCAACGTCTTCAAAATAAATGACGTCAGGCTGATCGGCCTGAAATCCTTGGCAGAGGTGCAACAGGTCCTTCCGACTTTAGGTATGAATAGTGGTATTGAGAGGGTGGCCTCGCCAGCCTCCAAGCTCTGGGCGTGTAGCCCAGAGCAAGACAAACTCTCAGGTTCCGCGTGAGCGGCCCACTGATCTGCCCGAGCTCCTCTTGTAAGAGCGCCGGAAAAATCCCATCCGGTCCAGCGGACTTGAACGGTTTAAAGGTTTTGACAGCCCACTTCACCCTCTCGGGTTTTACGATACTGGCCGCCAATTCCCAGCCAATTCACACCCACGTGCCCTTAATCTGGGCTCCGCAGTCCCCCTGTCTGAGTCGACATCAAGCCCCCTCCTGAAGCCCGGAAAATTGGTCTCCAGAAGGTGAGCCAGACATTGCTCTCCCGAAACCACGTCCCCATCCGGGAGGCGTATTGCCTGCAGGTTTGAGTCCGGGTTTTTCGCCAGGATTCTGCAAAACTTAGAGGCTTCCGGAACCTCCTCCATCGACTCACAGAATCTCCTCCAGCTCTCTTTCTTGGCGGCTACTACAGAGTCCCTATAGGTCTTCTGGGCCCTCCGGTAGAGATCCCAGTCGAGCGGGCGACCCGTGATTTTGGCTCTATTCCAGGCACGCCGAGCCCCCTCCCTGAGCCTCTGCAGTCCCGGTCCCCACCAAGAGACCTTCTTATTAGAGCGAACTGCTCTCGTTGGACGATTCTTTTCGAAGCTGCCCACTAAAGCTCTTTGTAGATGATCTACGCAGAGCTCTACCTCAGCAGCGGTCTCGTGCCTCTTAGGGAAGCCGCAAAGACCATTGGAGAGATCTTCACGAAACGAGTCCCAATCCGTCCTTCTCGGATTTCTTCTATAGATTGTTTCAGGCCTCACATTGGCAAGCCTGAAGACGATCTGCCTATGATCAGAGAAAGAGGGCTCCGATGATACCTGCCACCCGACAACCTCCGGAACCAAATTTCTCGAGCATAGAGTAAGGTCAAGTACCTCACGCCTAAGCATATTCTGAAATATTGGTTCGTTGCCCCTGTTCAGGATTTCCAGGTCAGTGGCTACCAGGTACTCCAGAAGGGAGAGGCTCACTTGCGCGGGGCTCCACTTCCGGAAGATATAACCTAACCCAAACCTATTTCTGATTTAAAACTAAAACTTATGTGCGCAAATGAACTGTGCGCAAAAGAAATGTGCGCAAAAGAAATGTGCGCAAAAGAACTGTCCGCAAAAGAACTGTGTTCAAACGAACTGTGTGTAAACGAACTGTAACAAACGTTTATTTACCAAATAAAGTTAATAATAAATGTCAAGAAAATTCAAAATTATACATGCATACATGCATGTGTATGTATTCCAAATTATACAAAAATATGTGTTGTGTCCAAAAACAACGTGTCCAATTGAACGGTGCGCAAATGAAATGTGTCCAAACGAATTGTGCGCAATTGAAATGTGTCCAATCGAACGGTGCGCAACTTTATATGTCTAATATCACAGTGTGCAATTGCAACATGTCCAATTGTACTGTGCGCAAGTGAAGGCTTCTCACTCCAGAAGCCTACTGCCCCGATTGGTGCTCGCCCAAACAGTGTGGTGCCCATTAGCGTCGCACCCCATATAACTCCCACTATAAGCGGCAGCCCCTTATCTTGGCAGTAATCCACCAGCCTAGCCACAGGGCCTAGCGGAAGCGAGCCCTCCTCTTCATGTGAGAAGTACGCCGAGCTCACCACCATCCTCCTGGTCTCGCCCGTGGTAAATCTGAGGAAATCCACCGTAACTGCTACAACGTCTCTGGAACAAAATTCCGGCATGAGTTGCGCTTCTAGTCCCTTGACCGCAATCGCGGCCCTGGGACTGGACTCTGTGGGGGACTTGAAAAGTCTGCCACAGACCGCAATGCCCCTAATGCAGCCCCTATATACCCAGGGTTCCTGCATTAGGCAAATACCTGTGTGCACCACAGCCATACTCCTGGCCAAAACAGCCGAGGCGCCCCTGCTGTGGTGCAAGTTGATCTGGGTGAATCCCATCGTCGCCATGCCCACTTTATTGAGGGCCTGACGCTGGCTGGGATTCTCCCTGCCCCGTCGTCTTACTACGAACCCCGAGCAGACCCACAGTGATCTGCTTGAGCCCATAGCTAAGTCTGAAGTCCCGCGCCCTCAGCTTGAGGACACTGGACTCCGGGATGACGAGAAAGAGGTTTCTCCCTTCTGGGGAAGCCCCAACATTTTCGGCAAAAACCTGCCAACTAGCCGTGGCGATGCCCGGATTCTGCCTCTCCAGCAGCCCCAGGACCGCCGCCGCAGGCACCGGAGGACCCGGAACCCATATGGCTGCCCTGTGCCGCTTTTGAAACGCACCCAAGCCCACCACCCTGAGCTTGGCACCCTCCCAGGGAGAGATGTGCCCAATTCGCTCCGAGAGCCAATTGAACGCCATCTCATCCTCCCCTCTAATGACTACGGCGCTATTGCGCAGCACCGCAGTCCCCGTGAAGCGAGGCAGGGGACCCTCTCGGATCTCCGCCAGCTCACTGACCACTGCTCCCCGCAGCAAGTTCAACTGCTCAGGAGTCACCGCCTGTTCGGGGTAGCCCTCCTGCACAATTGCCCTCGCCAAGGGGTCCGCGGCAGAGACGTACGGCCCAGTAGTCTGAGCCCTAGGCCTCTTCACCGCTTTCTGCACCGAAGGAGGGGTATCAACGGAGCCCGTCCGGCACTTTTTGCCGGTATGCCCCTTCTCCACCCCCTTTGGAGTTTCTCCGAGAGTCCCAGAGGAAGAGGAATCTGACCCGGTTAAGGCCATCCCCCTGTCCCTCCTGGCCCTCCTCTTTTCGGCTCCACAGCGATTCCTCTTACGAGGAACCGCTGCTTCGCCGACGACCGCCCCGCTCCCTCCCGGCACATGAGGAGCCTGTTCGGGAGTCGAAGCTACCACCCCTGAAGGTGGGGGCCCTCGCGAGCCCTCACCCTCAGTCCCCCCAAGACCTTCATCAATATTTAACTTTTCAAAATTCATAATTGGTCCCACGAGAAGCTAGGGACAGAAGTCCGCCCGGACAGAGCCTCGCACGCCCGGGTAAGGCTAAATACTTTGGGGTTTCGCCCGGTGCCCCAGAGGCATCGTTCGCGACACCGCTCCCCCAGTGCCACGCAGCCTTCGCCACGATAGTTCCCAGCTTGGCTTGGGGAGTCGGTCCGCGGCAGTAGCCTTCCCAGTCCCAGACAGGGTTTTACGCCCGCGGAGCCGGTTATAGCCACTACTACCCAAGAGCCTACTCGGGTAGTCAAACCCGGAGGCAGCCTGGGCGTCCTCCTATCCGCCGCCCGGAGACGCGCCCGATAGGCGCTTAACCCACGGGTAGAATATACGAAACTCATCAGTAATATCTGATCTATTTATCGAATATTCTCGGGATATACTAAAATTATTAGCAATATTACATTTTTAATAATATTTTTGGAATATATGAAGTATTCTCAGCAAACACATAGAATATAAATAAATATATATATATTTCTACCCAGGGAAAAACACGAGAGCGGATATACCTCAGTGAGAAATACCAATCTATAAACGTCTATAGACATTTAATAGCCGTCTTTCCGACCTGTGATTTCTCATTGGGACGTCTATTAGATGTCGGAGCCATCCAGTCTAAAACAACATTTAGAAAATCAGAATTAGATGCCACGTAATTTTGTGTTATTGAATTTTTTTAGACACAGTTAGGGTGCAAGCTCTCGTTCCGCGTTACGCTATTCTGCTGCATGGGTTCGCACCTTTAGACTTAATATTCACACAATAGCGGTGCTTGTTTATGAAACACTCTTTGGGCTACAAATCACCTTTCGACATCTAATAGACATCTAATAGACCTTTAAGTAAACGTTAAGCAATATGTATGTAGCATCATAATAAAAACAGAAATTCTGTTGTTGGAAAAATAATTTCATAAAACGTATTTGTAGTCATACACTAGTATTCATTTCGTATTGTCAAGAACAAATTTCTGACAATATATCATGTATGAGTCTGGAGATTGACGATGTTTATGTATGTATGTATAATCTTTATTGTTCCCCTATGGGGTTACAATTCTTTTATATTTTCTTCTTATCCTATCTCATCTTAACCTAGTTTCCTTACATTTTTATTCAACTTATCCTATTCCACCGTCCACCGCTGCACCCTACTTCTCTTCCCTACTCTCTCTCTTTCTTTCCCTCTACCCTATATAATTAATTAAAATCTTAAAGTTAAATATTAATATCACTGATTATGTTAAAGTTCAATCGCGAGTCTGTTCTTAAAGTAACCGCCGGTCAGTCCTAGAAAGTTACTACTGCGCAACTACCCAGTTCTAAATAAAGCCTTCTGATTGGTCGGTCCAAGGAATCTTCAATTCTTTGCGCAATTAATTATTACTATTAAAAGAACTAAAATATAGTTAATTTTTAAGTTAAATAACCATATAAAACTAGAACAATAAGCAAATAATTAAATTGATTAACTGAAATAAAAGCAAAAATAGAAGCGGTACTTAATTATTAGTTAAAATATGGTTTCGAAAATGACGGGACATTACACTAGACTGCTACTCTTAAGCCCGTATCAGACTCTGCATTGAGATTGAAATTTGACCAATCAGGACAAGGAAATTTTAGTTCCTTTTATTTGATTGGTCAAATTTTAATCTTCAATACATAGACTGATACGCGCTTTAGGGCTATCGCACACAAATTGGCATAGCTGCATATGCATAGCATTAGAGTCCTAAATAATTAGAGAGGCGACATTGTTACACCCTTCATGCTTTCCATGATCGCCATGTTGGGCCCGCAGCTGTCCATTTGTAATCTAAAATATCTTAAAAATGTCTTAGAGATATTTAAAATGTTGTTTTTTAGAAAATAACATTACAAATATACTTTTTTCTCACTTACGGTACGCCGGTTGCGATTAATTTGCACGTAGGATTCACTACGGGACCAACATAGGGCGCTTCACACTTAACGACCGCAACGCACGCGAGCATCATTTATCTTTGTTTAACTTTTAGTGAATAACAAAGATGAAATGATACCGTGAGCGTTGCGGTCGTTAAGTGGAATGGACCCATGGCGGTCAGCCAATCAACAAGCGAGACGCTATTGTCGCCTCTCCGATTACACTGTCCAACAAAAAATGACTTTTTTTCAAACACCGGTACCGGACTACCTGTTTCTTATAGGTTTTTGGACGCCAAACACGAATCCAGTTGTGAAATTGCTCCATCACGTCAGAATTTTGAGAAATTTCCAATTAAAGTTGCAAAAAAGGGCTATTTTCACGAACTTTGTCATATTAGCTACAATATGTGACGTGCTGGAGAAGTTTTATTACAATCAAAATAAAGTATGTTGTTAGGACTTTTAACTCCCAAAAGGAATTTTTGGTGTCGGTTTTGGTTAATAAGATATCCATGGTTAAATATAGGGTGTATTGCAGAAGTTAGCTGTGACTTAGGTCATTATAACGATTTATCAAATAGCTTTCAATTATTACTAAAACTTAAGAGTTTTTTAGGTCACTGAATACGAATCCAATGTCAAAATTGTCAAATTCAAAATGGTGGACTCAAATGTTTAGATTGCAATCTAAACATTTTTTAAGGTTTGTCATCCGCCATATTGAGTCCACCATTTTGAATTTGATAATTTTGACATTGCATTCGTATTCAGCGATCTAAAAAACTCTTAAGTTTAAATAAATATAATTGAAAGATATCTGGTAAATCTGGTCAATGACCTAAGTCACAGCTAACTTCTGCAATACACCCCATATTTAACCATGGATATCTTATTAACCATAACCGACACTAAAAATTCCTTTTGAGGGTTGAAAGTTCTAACAACATACTTTATTTCGATTATAATAAAACTTCTCCAGCACGTCACATATTGTAGCTATAATATGACGAAGTTCGTTAAAATAGCCCTTTTTGCAAACTTTAATTGCAAATTTCTCAAAATTCTGACGTGATGGAGCAATTTCACAACTGGATCGTGTTCAGCGTCCAAAAACCTATAAGTGATCTAGTTTCCACCGCAGTATTAATTCGCATCTAGTGCGGCGTAGGACTAAATTTAAGCCGATGGAAATACGACTGACTGCGTTCATTTAACTCTCACTCCGATTTACAAGCATTGTCGGAGTGGCAGCAAATTGACACGAAATCTAGACGATGGAAACGCTTGAAAGTAGATGCCATGCCGAAAATGGTCGATTAAAACGGATTTAAAAAAATGTAATCCGAATCGATCGGGATTTCTGCACCGAAAATGCGGTATTAAAACCGATTGAAAATAGTCAAATTGAATTTAGTACGCTTCAGGCGAGATTAATGTTGAATGATATATCTTATATCAATCTTCCTCGCTTCTATTCTACTTCCAGTGGAAACAGTACGTTAAATTCGATGCGCGCCGAAACAGAATCGGATTGACGACTTCGATGGAAACTAGATCAGTGAAAGGTTCTGATCTAGGAATTTTAAGGAGGGCAAAAATAACAGAAAGAGTCAAATAAATGTTAATTGACCGTTATATTCGAGAACCAAAAGGATTCGTATAAATGGCCACGTGGCCGGTGCTCTGATACCAGGTCGGAGCTTTTTTCACTTATTGTTTTATGACTACGATCTCAGCATGCTTGCCTTAAATCGCAACCGTTAACACCTCTACCGCAATAAAAGAAAGAATAGCCTTTTAGCCAGAAACTAATTATTAATCGCCTTTGTTACTTTTTTATCCGGCACGCTCGCCTTCACAATACTCTCACTGGACTCTTACTGTCTTTCCACTATATTACTCTACTTCCTCTTCGCTCGCTCTCTTATATCTCTTCTTCCCCTCTATGTCTAATACCGGCTTTATGTATGCTATAAACCATGATGTAATAATAGCCGTGTTCCGATATTTACTGCCAGTATTGAAAATCTATAGTGTATATGACATACACTATAGATTTTCAGTACTGGCAGCGAATATCGGAACACGGCCAATATATATTATTACATCATGCTATAAATTGCATTTGGGCAACAGGTTTTTACAGGTATTGACAGAGATTTACAGGCTTATGCCAAAAGAAAAAAAAAGAAGAAATTTATACGTTGTTAATACTAATATTGACGCTTTGATTGTTAGTAAAACTGCGAAGTCGAATAGTGATAGTGTGAAAACGTTTATAGTTACAACGCACAATAATTTTTTTTTTGCCCGCTTTCCTTTGATAACTCAACCATTGATTAATTTCTAACTAGATAGGGCGATCACGCATTACCAAGATGCCAACGCCGTTTGGAGACTTCAGATTCCTACGGAGTGCGTTCTGATTCCATTATCCTCTCAGACACTTTTCGTTAAACTCCGCCCATCACCCACTCACCTGACTATCACCCATCGGGTGAAGGATCAGAACACAGCCCATAGTATCTCATTGGTGATTTTGTCCCCCTCTATATATAAAATTATCAATAAAATGCTAGGAAAAAAGACAAATATAGGTCTACCATATAGTACCTTTCTTTCTACAGCGGGCGCGCGTTTGTCTATCTCGCAATGCTCAATCCAGTCTATATATCTATGGTCACATCGGCCATATTACATATCCAGCTTCTATCCTCTTCTTTCCTACTGATTCCTACTTAAGTCACGCATGCGCAGATGTTTACTTCTCATACGTAAAGATGCTATTACTTCAGGTGCTTTTACATGGCAGCGTCGAGCGTCTGCGTAGAAAATTGCGCAGAATCTAATTTCAGCCTAGAATCTATCTCTTTTAAATTCTGCGCATTTTTCTGCGCAGACGCTCGACGCTTAATGCTGCCATGTAAAGGCACCTTTCGATTTTATAGGGCAACCTGCTTCCACCGGCTATACCCCAGGGACGCCGAGAGCTAGGACTGATCTGGTGGATTCTAGGGGAATGACGTCAGGCACGGAACTAACCTTTACTAGAGTAAGTTTACTGTATGGGAAAAATGTTGATCGAGGGCATTCTTCGATGCTCGACAACGATGGAAATTTGGGAAAGAGGGTAGAATGTCGCCAGGGCAATAATGCTCGGCAATCGGGTTTCAAGGGTTGGCGTCAATCAAGGGCTTACTATGAGCTCGATAAACGACAGTCGTCAAGGGCACAATGTGCTCGACAATGAATCTATCTGACTGACTGATTGAAAATGAAAGACACGCGGTTGTGTCTGAGAGACTGAGACTAAGACGGTAAGAGGCTAAGAGAATATTACTGTATAATGAAAGACACGCATATAGTTATGCGTTGGAATGATCGGCGAGACTGACACTACTGATACTACTGATACTACCGGTACTACTGGCTTGACGGTGAAAATCTGCATCTTATATACTATTGAGAACCAAGAGCGTTGCGAGCCGTGTGGGGATCGTTCTGAGAATTTAGTTTACGTTCTGGAAATTCATTACGGTGAAGATTTTCTATGGAAATCTATGACGAAAATATTTCTAAGTATTGCCCATCGATTAGCGGTAAATCCTTATCGATTGTTTATGTCTTGGCGTCTTCATTGCGGATCTATTGGAGCCGCCATGGGTCTGCACGCCTGCTTATCGCTCGCTGTCTGGAAAGTTACTACTGCGCAGCTGCCTAGTTCTAAATAAAGCCTTCTGATTGGTCGGTTCAAGGAACCTTCAATTCCTTGCGCAATTGATTATTACTACTAAAAGAACTAAAATATAGTTAATTTATACGTTAAATAACCATATGAAAGTAGAACAATAAGCAATTAGTAAAATTGATTCATATGTTCTATATTCCATAGGCATAATGCAGAAATAAATGCGATACTTAATTATTAGTTGAAATATGGTTTTGAAAAATGACGGGACGTCACATTACACTGCCATAGTAGTAACGTTTTATAATATATCTTTGATTAATAATAATAATAACACACATACACACATCTGTTATATAATAAAATAAATGGAATATAATTCTGGGCAACAATATTCTGCGCAGACGCTTAACGCTCGACGCTCGACACTGCCATGTAATGGCACCTTAAAGCCCGTATCAGACTATGCATTGAGATTGAAATTTGACCAATCAGGACAAGGAAATTTTAGTTCCTTTTATCTTGATTGGTCAAATTTCAATCTTCAATGCGTAGACCGGTATTCATAGTCAGTTCTTATTTCAAGACCGTCTTAAGTAATGTCTAAGTGCCGGTCTACAATAGGTGATTTAAGCCCTAAGGTTTAAGAAATTGACCAATTACAATCAAGTATGAGAAGAATACTCGACTGTGATTAGTCAATTTTATGAATGCTTGGTTTTCCTTCACCTCTATTTTCTGTTGGCCATCCTGCTAATTTTAACCGTCGGTTAATCTAACCGGATTTGGTGAAATTGGCCCTAAGACGGTCTTAAATATAAGAACTGACTATGAATACCGGCCGTAGTCTGATACGGGCTTAAGGCCGATATTACATTTGTCGTACGACAAACTTTTTAGGGCTACTGTCAACGCACAAACAAAATCGTAACGTAGTATGCTTTTGTTACGTTACGATTTTCTCTGTGCGTTGACTGAAGTGTAAGATTACGTACGAGTTTAGGTTTAGGGCCAATTTCACCAAGCTCGGTTAGATTAACCGACGGTTAAAATTAGCAGGGTTCCAACTGAAATGATAAGAATGCTTGGTTTTCCTTCACTTCTATTTTCTGTTGGCCACCCTGCTAATTATAACCATCGGTTAATCTAACCGAGCTTGGTGAAATTGGCCCTTAGAATCAGTACTTAACGTAACGTAATGCATTACGGAAAAGCTTGTGCGGTGGCCCTTAAGCATATTAATTGGCTGCAAAATAAAACGTAATTATACTTTGATAAAGACATAAATATTTTAAACATATTTCTTAAAATATAATCACATTTAATAAATAAATGTATGTAATAATGTATGACAAACTTTAAAAAATAGTAAAAAAAAATCGCTTGGTTTTGAACCCCGATCTGCGTCGTGAGAGACCAAGCGTTTTCCAATCATCCACCGCGCACTATTGAAATAAACATCAATGTTATCGGTACTTGTAGTATATTTACGTAAGGTTATGTTAATTCCCTTTTAAATTAAAATTATTATTTAGTATTCTCTTTTTTCTACAATCGTTTTATCAAACAAAATTCGGTTTTGTTCAAATTAAAAATTATGAAAAGTTAATAAAAATGTGAAATTAAGGCGTTGTAAAATGGATGTACGTGACGCTAGTGTACGACCTAGAAAAAGCGTTACACGAAAAACGGCAGCGTGGCGACTCTCATTCTTCTCTCTAATGTAACCAAAACACAGCTTTTACTGCTCTGCTGTTCAACAGGATGAACTTCAAACAGCAAAAACTTGCGCCGGAAGTACGTCACCGATTCTAGTTATTTTCTAAACTGCTGCTGCTTTTCACTGCTCATGAAATGTTACCTTTATACATATTTTTTGGGGTCAATTTTTTGATACAGTACATAAGGGAATTAGCAGTCTAGTTATATATAGAAGTCTGTGGTAGAAAAGCAATTGATATATTGTGAAGATGATAGAAACTTCAGACAGGAAATTACTTTATAATACTGTATTATCACAAACGTTTTCTCCCAATGGAAATTATCTTCTGGCTGGCAATATTTATGGAGACGTGTCAATATTTGAGTAATTCTTCTTTGACATATGTAACATAGAATATATTATTAATATAAAAATAATTAATTTAATTTTTTTATTAATAAAAATTTATAATATAAATTTTTAGTTTATCAAAGACCTTAGGTCCCAACAAGATAGAGGAGAATGAATTACAAGGACCTAATTATCGTTTTGCCGCGCATCCAGAACAGGAAATAGCGTGTATGCTCTCCATCGAGAATTTCCTTGTAACAGGAACACGTGGTGAAATATCAGGATGGGATTGGAAGACAATTACCTCGAATAAAAGTCCTAAGAGTAAAGCTTCTTGGAACATACAAATTCCTGCTAATAAGTAAGCAAAAGTGAAAGAATCCAACTAAAGTGAAATATATATTATAGTTATCAATGTTATATAAATTATATTTCTAAATCATAATTACAAATGATACCTAAAATGTGCATTGTTCTATTGTTATTAGAAGCATATAAGAAGCATAAATATATAATATATTATGGTTAATAATACATGATAAATTTTTACTGTCAACTACTATTATTATAAAATTATTGTAAAGTTATTGTATAATTAATTATTAATGTGTACATACATGTACACATACACACAGTACTGCTCAAAAGTATTTGCCCATCTAAAACAATTGTTCTATAAATGTTAGAAACAAAACAATGTAGTAATCATGTGAAAAATATTTATTTATGTTTACGTATCTAATTACCAAAAAAGTGTGTGCACAGTAATGCTTAAAACTAAATTTTTCCTTCATTTATGTGCCCTCCTTTGTTTGTTATTATAGCGTTACAAAGCGAAAATGAAAAACGAAATGTTAACAGATAACTGAAGAATATTATGAATGCTTATTATGACATGGCACAGACCGAATAAACAATGGAAGTTCGGGCAAATTCAAAGGAATGAGCTGCTGGTGTTTTATGATTTTTTCTATTTATATATTAGTGATAATCAAAATATTATTTCAAAATTCTGCCTTATATAACAACGATATATGTGTACATAAAGAAAATATAGGTAAAGTGCCAGCTAAGGCTTTTATATAAAAATTATCCACGAAATCGATGGTGGACGAATACTTTTGAGCGGTAGCGGTATAAGCTATATTTATAAATAAATGTATATATATATATATATATACATTTATTTAAAAATATAGCTTATATATATTTATATGTAAAATCAATGTAATTTATTTTAACTATTGGCCAGCTTTTTTTTTTCTTTTTTTTTCAGGGATAGTTATGATAAACCAGATATAAATTACATGGCATACTCAAAAGCAAATCATTTACTGTACGCTGGTTGTGGCGATAATAACATATATATTATAAACTTGGATGACGGAAGAATTTTGAGAAGCATGCAAGGCCACACTGATTATATACACTGCCTTGCTATAATGTAATTATCATTTATCTATACCTAAGAAGTTGCAGAAAAGTATATCATATACAGTGTTTTTAAATAATTTAGAAGAGTTTTATCAATTTCAGGGATAATCAGCTTGCATCCTGCAGTGAGGATGGTTCTGTGAGATTATGGGATTTGCGTAAGAAGGAGAATACTAGCATATTAACGCCCCATTTAGTAGATAAAGTTGCTCGACCGCGACTTGGAAAATGGATCGGTGCTGTTGATTTTACAGAAGATTGGTTGGTATGTAATGATAAAAAATAAGAAAAGATATTTATATATATGTAAAATTTTTTAAATTGCACATTTGTGCGAAACAAAAATTTAGTTTGATCTCTAATTGTGAAAATATTTAATACTCTTAATTGAGAAATTGTAAAATATAAGTATATTTATAAAATATAGATATATAATTGATAGAGAATCAAAATGTAACTATAATTGACGGCAAATTTTTATTAGATAAAGATCAATAACTGTATAATTACAGAATATAAATAAAAAAGAAATTAAAAGAAGGAGAGGCGTTATTTAAAATAAATAATTAAATGTAATTAAGAAGAGTTGGGCGAATTTTGTCTCTAGGCGAATTCCAAGGAATGAGCTGCTGGTGTTTTATGATGTTTTCTATTTATATATTAGTGATAATCAAAATATTATTTCAAAATTCTGCCTTATATAACAACGATATATGTGTACATAAAGAAAATATAGGTAAAGTGCCAGCTAAGGCTTTTATATAAAAATTATCCACGAAATCGATGGTGGACGAATACTTTTGAGCGGTAGCGGTATAAGCTATATTTATAAATAAATGTATATATATATATATATATACATTTATTTAAAAATATAGCTTATATATATTTATATGTAAAATCAATGTAATTTATTTTAACTATTGGCCAGCTTTTTTTTTTCTTTTTTTTTCAGGGATAGTTATGATAAACCAGATATAAATTACATGGCATACTCAAAAGCAAATCATTTACTGTACGCTGGTTGTGGCGATAATAACATATATATTATAAACTTGGATGACGGAAGAATTTTGAGAAGCATGCAAGGCCACACTGATTATATACACTGCCTTGCTATAATGTAATTATCATTTATCTATACCTAAGAAGTTGCAGAAAAGTATATCATATACAGTGTTTTTAAATAATTTAGAAGAGTTTTATCAATTTCAGGGATAATCAGCTTGCATCCTGCAGTGAGGATGGTTCTGTGAGATTATGGGATTTGCGTAAGAAGGAGAATACTAGCATATTAACGCCCCATTTAGTAGATAAAGTTGCTCGACCGCGACTTGGAAAATGGATCGGTGCTGTTGATTTTACAGAAGATTGGTTGGTATGTAATGATAAAAAATAAGAAAAGATATTTATATATATGTAAAATTTTTTAAATTGCACATTTGTGCGAAACAAAAATTTAGTTTGATCTCTAATTGTGAAAATATTTAATACTCTTAATTGAGAAATTGTAAAATATAAGTATATTTATAAAATATAGATATATAATTGATAGAGAATCAAAATGTAACTATAATTGACGGCAAATTTTTATTAGATAAAGATCAATAACTGTATAATTACAGAATATAAATAAAAAAGAAATTAAAAGAAGGAGAGGCGTTATTTAAAATAAATAATTAAATGTAATTAAGAAGAGATAAACAACAATTGTAGCCAATGTTATATTCTTTGCAATGCTTTGCATATACATCAATTTAAAATTTTAATTCTTATACTAATTATTCATTTAATTCTAGCTATGTGGCGGTGGGCCTAGTCTATCGTTATGGCATATGCGAACGATGGAGGCAGCGACAATTTTTGATTTGGCTGATCAAGGGATACATGTGGCGGAGATCTACGAGGAACGCGTGATTGCCGGTGGTGCGGCCGCTCATGTTTATCACATGACTTACCAGGGTGAAATCCTGGCCAAAGTACCAACCTCGAGTCTCACTGTATATAGTATAGTACATCAAGAAACACCACATAAGTTGCTCTGTGCAGCTGGTTCTTCGAATTGTATCGATATCAGTACGAATTTCAATTATCGCGAAATGATGCTTAAATTTGCGTAATATTTAGAATACTACAAAATTTTTTGATATCGCATAAAGGTTTTAATTTCTTATCGATCAGATGGATGGAATAACAGGTGTAATTAATGCTAGAAATGCGTTTTTTGTTTGTAATAAATATATTAGTAAAATATACATATATTTTTTATGTGATACAATTCTTCTTTTGTACAAATACATACAAAGGATATTTGCGCGATTTTTCTTTCCGCGGCAAAGTTAATTTATTGGTGGATTTGTTCCTTTGATAAAGCATTTTATATTTCTGTCTTTCCTTCTTGCTCTCTCCAAATCCAGGATATACATCTAGTTCGTTTTGACTTTTTCATTTAAATACATATTGTACAAGTACAAAGAACAATGTAAATGTAATTTGATTAAATTTGGAAATATTAATTAAAGCGTACATAATTTCGTTTAAATTTGCATGATTAATTTTAACACATTGACGAATCATTTTGCAGTTTAAACAGTTCTAAATATAAATTAAATCACTTTTGTGAATAAAATTTAATCCCACATAAAACATTTTTCTCCGTCATGATGATACATCGAGAAATATATTAGAGAAAAAAGAGAGAAATTAGATTATATTGCAAAACTTGAACTAATATTACATTTTCAAAATAGTAACTTCATAATCTTCAAATATTCATTTTAGCAATTAATGATTGATATTTTGTATTCTTTTTTCATCTCTAAATTACAATTAGGATATTTTTGTTTTCTTTTCACTGGAGCACAATACATTACATCATTAAAATTTTAAATTAAATAAAGAAGAGTAAAAATCAATATTGAAAAATATAAATTTAATAATAAAAATAATGATTTGACAATGAATATAACCATTCTAGATTGATTGTGCGCAAAATTTTATTTATTTATGCATAATCATGTGATAAATATGATATGCTGATAAAAGAGTGTAAAAAGAAGAAGAAAAAAAGTAATAAACAAAAACAAATTAATTGATAAAGCGGTGCAAAAAAAATGATGAAAACAAAATTACGAAAATGTAGTAAATATAAAAAATTTAAGAATTTATAAATATATTTTACAATGGGTTATGATAACACTTTTTCTAATTGTCACATGTAACTTATATAAAACATTTAATATTTTTGCAAGCGCTCCTGATTTAACTTATTATTTCTTATAAATTTTAAAACATTTTGTACTTTGATAATTGATAAGAAAGTATTAGTATTTTTTATTAAACTTTATATTTTTAAAATATATATACACATACACATACACACTCAAAATAAATACTGAAATTGTAATTTTGTTTTAAAATTACAATTAAAAATATAGAAGATATTAAAAATTTATTTATTATACGAAATTACAATTATATTCTAAAAAGGACTAAAATTCTTTATATTATATTATGTGGAATGATTTATTAATAGATAATAATTTGGTAATTGTGGTATTATTGCAAGAATATACATACTATTTCGAGAATACGATATTTGTATACGTGCGCGCGCGCACACACACACGCACACGCACGCACGCACACGCACACAATTCTTTTGTGAATTTCATGAACAAAGACTGTCCGTCATTGTTAAATAAATCTCATTTGACAAAAAAAAAATCAAAGAAAGCCGTGACCAGCGACAACAGCAGGGATGAATCCCTCTCTATCATCCCTAGAACGTACCCAAAACCAGTCACTTATGTGGTCACTCAACAAAGCGACTACATCGCCCTTGGAGACGGTCAGAGCATTCGCGGATCCTGCCTCATAATCGCTTCTGATCACTAGTAGTGTGTGCCGGGATCCCTTGGTACGTGCGTTTGCTGCCGCCCTCAGATACAACCGATCAACACTACGCTCACCGCACGCCGACACTGCGTCTCTCGTACATCGTCTGACCCTACTGCTCTGACGCCCACGGCTTGCCCCGCATTCCGATCTGGTGTCTCGTAACTTCTCTGTATCTGTCATATTTCCTTAAAAAAATAAAAAAACAAATAAGGAAAGTTGGAAAATTAATAAATCAAATATTTTAAGTCTCTTTGTGATCTTGGATAGAATCATGAATCAAATAAAAGATATATAAATTAATTTTATTACTATTACTATATAAATTATATAGAATTACAATTGAATTATAAAGTGGCTTGTGATATATAATCTAATTTAAAATATATATGCGTATATATACAGGGTGGACTATTTTAATCAATCCACGCGAATATCTCGAAAACTGAGCTCGATAGATAAAAATGTTTCAGACAAAAGTTGCACGGTTTCGAGGGAGCCACATGATAAAAATATGGACTTGACCTTGAGTGACCTTTTCAAGGTGAGGTCAATGTGATCGATGTTTTCTTAAATGGAAGCCCCATTATTTATTGCATATTCTTGTAGCTTATTTTGAAAGCTACAAGAATTCTTGCTTTTCAAAACATTTTTCAAAACGTTTTTCTCTAAAATGTTTAGTTTTTGAAAGAAAAGAGGTGTACGGGTGGTCTAGGACACCCTGTATAACAGGATGTCCCAAAGCACCCTAGACAACGCTCGAGAGCACAGTAAACGGAACAGAAAAGTCCTTTACTATTTTGCAATTTTGGCAATAATTATGGAAATGTTAATTCAAAAGGATTGTACCTCGACTTTCGTTGCGAGGCCGTGCGACACTGTGAAACTGTACCCTGTATACAATATATATATATAGGGTATCTTATAATAACCGTATCACTTCTCGTGTGCAGGTAGAGCAGATGAAACCGAGAAGATAAAAAATCCTTTACCATTTTGCGATCTTCGTAATAATTATTGAGAAATTAATTAAGAAAGATCGACCAATTCGCGTGAGTGTAAGCACGCAGTAAAAAGGGACAACCTATTGATGTGTGGTTTAGGAGTACAGCACCGAAAGATTGCAAAAACGTTGCATAGACCTTACATTGAAACATTGTAATATTGCATGGAAGTTGCAAAATGTTTCTGCAATGTTACTACAAGCCTGCGGTAACGTTGAAATGTCCGCCTTTAGAAATATTACAATGTAAGACTACAGTAATATTACGGTGCGATGTATTTGAAATGCGTTGCTACAAATATGCAAAATGCTTCAAATTTGATAGATAAACTTTGAGAATATATAAAGACATTCAAGAGAGATAAAAAAAAAAGATTGTGGATTTACGCAATTACGAGTTTCTTCTCGTCTCTCTTGGATGTCTTTATATATTCTCAAAGTATATATCTATTAAAATCTGAAAAGTATCTTGCATATTAAAAAATTATTATCAAATTTTTGGTTTTATATAAGAATGGAAACTATTAAACAATTTTCTGTTATCTATAATTCTGTTTTCTATAATTATTTAGTCGACTGACGTCATATGACGAGAAATGACCTTAAAATGACGTTATAATGACTACACCTTGCTACCTGGGAATAAACGGATGATTTAAACTTTTTCAGACATTTATCTGCTCGATCTAAGAAACAATCAGTCCAATATCTGAATTTCCTATGTTAGGATTGTATCAGTAATTGAACTGATAGAAATAATTATATTTTTAATCTTTTGCCAGTTGCTCTTTGCAAGCTTTATATACTTCTCATGACTAAAAATCAAATACGAGATGGATGCATAGCGCGTTGCATAGCGATGAGCAAACGAACTAGCGGCTGAATACTATTTTTTTGTAAAGTTTTTGGAATGTTTCGGGCAATAACATTTCTCATGAAATATTAAATAAATAATAATTTTGAATATATGAAAACGTGCACATCAAATATTCGATTATTAATATTAAACAATGTTTTATAGTTTTGTAATATTTCCAGCATATGCGAAAAGTGAAATTATTGCGCGTAAGGTTGCTAAAATATTGAATTAAGATTCCATTAATCTTCCAACAATATTATAAAGTAAGGTTTTATTGTAAGGTTAGTGGTATGTACCAGTAACATGTTCCTTAAAATGTGTAAGTTTGTAATCTCCCTATAATCTTACTGCAATGTTCGGTGCTGTGAGGGTATTAAACAATTTTCTGTTATCTAATTATATATATAGCATTGCTATTTTATAAATAATTTACAAGTTTAAGAAATTGATAACGATTAAATAATTTAATTAATAAAAGTTAAAATTTTATTTATATAGATATTAGACTCTATTTTACATCTTAAGTAGACAATAAACGGATAATTTTAACTTTTTCGGACATTTATTTGTCCGATTTCTGAACAATCAATTTAATATCTGAATTCCCTGTGTTGGGATCGTATCAGACAAATTAAAATAGGTATTAATAAAAATAGTTATTATACCTTTAATCTTACTAGCCGCTCTTTGCAAGCTTTATATAACACTGTTCAACACCAAATTTGCCTTAAGTTCTACCAAGTCATTTCTGGTAGATTTTTTAGCGCTAATTACGAATCTGACTTGTTATGCCTCCGGAGAGACACGGTAGTTGGGATCGTTTGCCGGAAGGAATTTGGGAATTCGGGCTCCGCCCGAGAGACTCACTGATTTTAATGTAATTGACAATGACACTCTTGTAGTCGGAATGAAAATATATATATATCTATTTTATTCACAAATTGGCTTAATTACAAAGTTCCCGCACGTTAGCTCGCGTCGCGTATCGCGATAGCGGATATCTTGGCGTGCGCGTGTCTGGAGTCGAGTTTCGGTCGCGAGACTTACTCCTCGATCTTTCGTATTTATTTCTGCCGACTGCGTGGCTTTAATTTAATGATTGCTCGTAATTAGCGTTATTGACCTCCCGTTCGATACTAATTGATTATTAAGACTGCCCGCCGCTCGTTAGCGATGGATCTTTTTATTATCTCCCCTTGGTTTCCCGGGAGGGGATCGTTTAGCGGCAGGACCATGTGTCGTGTCGCTCGATTTTGGCGGCAAGATCCGGATGCAAGCTAAGGAGTTCTAAGGGACTTCTTTGCTTGCATTTT